ATGTGTATGCACGTGTGTGCATGTGGTTGAATTTTCTAGTCCAGACTAATGCTGGTTTTATGGTGCTAGCCCACTGAGAAACCATGCTGCAGTTTAACATGGATTATCCACTCAGACACAATACTGACTCCAAACCGACCAGTCCTTATTATATCCCTTTATTGCCAAGGACCAGGCAGGGTAACAACAAGTACCATCTTTTAATATTATTCCTCCAGCTAAAACAGAATAAGTGCCTGTCTTAGCAAGAGGAAGGAAACATGGCGATGCTAACAACAAAATAAAGAAAATGTAGATGCTTGCATTACAGGGGAGGAATATATCTCTCACTGAAAAAAGGGATCTTGTGTATCCCTTTATCTAACTGAAAGAAAAACTTGATAATCAACCTGAATCCAATCACTCCTACTTAGTGGAGAAAGATATATTAGCGTGGTCACTTAAAACATAAGCAGCACTTGTCTTTTGGAGACTTCTTTGAACACTGAAAAAACACACACCCCACTCTCTTGACATGAAGATAAAATAGTGTTGTGTTGTATTCATTACTTTAAATATGCCCTCTCTCTTGACTTATAGACAAAATAAACTGAAAATGTCATGTTTTTAGTTCTTATTTTGCTAGAAAATGTTTTAAAGTATTTTTTGTAATATCATAAATAGAAGTATTACAATGGAGTTTGAAAGTGTTTGTGTATACATCACTTAAGAATATGCTACAGAAGATCAGCTCGGGATAGAAGAGTATCAGTGAGATTGCTTCCTGGCCCTAGCTGTCTGACATGCCGGTCTTGAGCTGGAGGCCTGACACCTACCTCAAGTGTGATTGAAGATGTGCAAACTGTGTGCCAGGCTGATTGTACCTGCACGTTACAGTGCTTGTGAGTGAGATGAATAGGAAGAAGCCAGGACCATATGTCCCCATGTTTCCTCTGGACTGTCCAAGCAGATCGGGTTACATCTTGTGACACGGCCCCCCTTCTTGTTGTTGTACAATAATGGCCTTGTGTTTAGTGGGTCGTGGCTGGAAGGCGATATGTGTTGCTTTGTTTTTGACACAAGCCACATTGGTCAGCCCTCTATGCTTGAGATGAGCTTAGTCGGAAGCCGACACCCTGCGCGCGTCCGCCGTCGATTTGTGTCAGTGAAAGTGGACATGAGAAAATTAAGTCGTCAGCGGACTTGAAAGGGAAGTTGGATTGTCAGCAAGGCCCTGGTGGAACACCTGGCTTAAGGAATATACTGTTACATGTCGAAGTTGTCGGCGCAGTGACTGACGCGTGGCCACTACCACCGTTACACAGACATAACAGTAAAAATGGGCAAAGACAACACAGTAGTAAATTAAGTCTTGGGTCTTGATACCCTTCACACACACAGGCCTTTGTTTTGGACAGAGGGGACAAAACATCTTTATCCATAAAGTAAAGTTTGGCCCCTGTAATGATAGTTGACTCCTCATGCAATTTATTCATGATCCACACAGTATTGCCATTTTTTTGGTTTCACAAGAATTATTAAAAACATGTTCTTAAGAAGTAATATGCTGTTTTATAGAATGAATTTAATATTGTTCAAATAAAATTAAGAATCATTACATGATTAATTTATTATATACATATGTTGCATTCTCATGCAATTTATTTATGATCCACAAAGAATTGCCTTTTTTTTATATAATAAGAATGTTTTACAAATGTTCTAAAACAGTAACTTGTCATTATGACACATTGGGTTTTTTCTCGGTGCCCTTCGGCGTCAACATTCCCATCCTATGCTGAGCCATCATTCAATGTTTTTTGACAAAACTTGGCATATGCATTGCTTATCAGCTTAGCTGGTGCCTTTGGCTAATTTGAATTTTTTCTAAATTTTATTTTCTTATGTTTCCATGAAAAGTTTTTTTTACTTAGTCTCAAACAAGTGAAGGGTTTGTTTTGGCCAATGTTGTTGGGTTTTTTTCCAACCTTTCAGCATTTTTCCACAGAACTTGGCATGTGCATTACTCACCAGTTTAATTGGTTCCTTGTGCTATTTTGATATCTTTATAAGTATTATTTCATTACGTTCCATGGAAACTGTTTGGACTAAGTATCAAACTCTGGACTTCTTTCCGAGCCATAACTCTTGAACTACTGAATATTTTTGCATGAAACTATGCACGTGCAAAGACCACTTGCTCAACTATTACGTTTTAATTGGGGCGATGGGGTAGCCTAGTGGTTATAGCGTTCACTCGTCACGCCGAAAACCCGGGTTTGAATCCCCACATGGGTACAATGTGTGAAACCCATTTCTGGTGTCCCTCCACCGTGATGTTGCTGGAATATGGCTTAATGTGGCCTAAAACCATACTCACTCAAACTTTTCCATATTTTTCAATTTATATTTTTATTATTTCTTGTGTTTCCTTGGAAACAATTTGAGACTTCTTAAGAATCTTTCTACCATGCATAAAGCTACTGATTGATCTTTATGGCTATATATACTTACACAACACAAACTGTTACAAGTTCCTAGTCTTATCTTGTATAAAGAGTCAACATCGCATCAACTGTAATGCTTCTTCATTAATGCATTAAACAGTACCAGTATTTTTATTGTTGCTATTATTTTTTTTCAGATTTGCAAACACATATATAGTTACAACTTGAACTTATGTATCAAAAAGAATCAAGTGACAGACATCAGTTTTTATGAATAATTACACATTCTAGTTTTAGAATGAATTTAACATTGTTCAAATAAAATTAATAATTATTCAACAATAAATATATTATCTTCATTCTGTCTATTGGTTGTATCTACAAAAGTTGCTATTGTTTGTTTTGGTTTGGAATGGAATTTTATTCCTTTTCTCACATCATAATTGGCATTATCAATTTGTGGTTTAAATAGCAGTTACTAAAGAATAATACGCACATTACATCTTTGATAACCTCTGCTGCGTGTTGATATTGATTTATTGATAAAAGATTATCCGTGTGTGATCCAGCCCTGTATCCCAGCACAGTCAGCCTGTTATGTCAGGGTACAGCCACAACTGTTAATTTGCCTGGCTGATGTGCTGGCATGTATCGTAGTGTGTAAGATAAGATCTGGCTGGCCTCGGTCATATCATCCCAGGTTACAGCTGTCACACCTCACGGTAATCAACACCTTATTAACACTAATTTGTCAAATTTGATGGCATATTCAACAGCCATATGCTTCCTGCCATCCAACAAGTCTTCCCCATATGCTCTCCATTTTGAAAAATCTCAACTCCTCAAATTGGCAACTAAATACGCTTTCGTGTGAAGTTCAAATATTGACAGGTATTTTTTGTCAGCGCTCCAATCCATGCTGTTCTATTGTTGCTGGCTTACTGCGTATGTTTGAAATAGTCCCTTCTAAGTGGCCCACAATGCCCTGTGCACACCTTTCATTAACTGTTTCACACCGTTTGGTCAACAATGCCGATAGTTTATTCTGTAGTATTTGCATTGCTACACTAAATCGCAGCTAGCAGTGTGCGCGCTTCATCAGCATATATTTGTTTTCTAGCAGGTGACAGTAAAAGCAACTCTAGTGTTAACCCTTTGTGTCTCTATGCACTGGAAAATAAACCTGGTCACACTTGGCAGTCAATTGCGACTAGTAGTAATATCATGGAAATATGCATCGCTAAACTGTCAACCTTGTGTCACACTAGATGATGACTCCTGTTGAATAAAGCACAGTAGTTTTTTGCTCTTCAGGACTGTTCTCCCTTCAGCTTATATTGTGTCTTAAATATAGATGTGGCAATATTTATATTAAGATTAAGGGTTCTAATGTTAAGAATGTCCATTCATGTTTCCAGGTTTAGCCTGTTCAGGATGTCTATATATGTTCTGTGGAATATTTTTAGTGAAATATATCCTGTTAAAGAATCAAGGTAGAACTATGTTTGTATAGCATCCTGGGATTAGTATTCTTTTGTGTGTGTCTCACTCATGCTCGTGGATGTGTATTCAACCATTTTCCAAGAAGGAAAGCTGCTTTTATACTAACAGTGGGTAGTTTGATGAAATGTGACAGTTCACAATGTTAGAAATTGGCTCTAGTCCTGTAGTCCTTGCCAAACTGCCCAATAGTTAAGATGTCATGAGGACTTGTAGAACTTTGCCATTTGTAAGGGTTTTGCCTTTTGTTATCATAAGGAATAGTTGACTAAAAATGTAAGATTCTATCGCTGAGTTCATAGAAATAATTGTGGCTCTAGTTGCTTTTACCCCACATGCGTTTATTCACTTTGACAATTATACAACAGAATACCTTCATCAGAATACGATTGAAACCTTGAACTTTTTTTCCAGATCTCACTATTGATTACTGTTGTACTTGTCCTAGTATGTACAACCTGTGTTCAATCTGTGTCAACCCAGTGTCCTTGGTATCTGACCATGTTATTTTGTTACAGTGTGGTGTTGAGATTTCCTCATCTTTCTTTGAAAAAAATCGGTTAATTCCAGCTGATCAGACATTGATCGGGGACCGACCATTTAATATTGAGTGGCACGCCTGGTATTTTGTTTTTGAGACAGATTTTGGGGTGGGGAGGGGGGTCACTGCTTCAAAAACCTACAAAAACAACAAGAAGAAAACTTAAGATCACAACACATTGATTTTCCAAACTTCCAGCTTATCTAGTTAAGGACTTTTTTTCATGAAGAGAATATTATAATTTGTTGTCATATATGTATATTTTGTGTTTTTTTGCATAACATTAAGTCGTCATCCCCCAAAATGAATCCTTTAAAAAAAATAACTGATTGGTTATATATCAATGTGATTGTTCAATTAATCATTTTTAGATTTAAAGGTAATATAAGGCCACTCAGTTGAAATATATTTTATATTTGAATGTGTTTTTCTTTTTCAAGAATTGACAGTTACAATGAATCATTGCTCTCATATGCCAATCAAATTTTAATTGTAATCAATCATCAGAAAATGTCTATCATAATGTATTCCAGACTGGCAAAAGACGGAGGCCCAAAAGCGTCGTGAGCGTCTATTGCTGGAGGAACTTGTGTCTGTGGTCAACAAGCGAGATGAGCTAGTGCAGCACCTTGACACTCAGGAGAGAGCGTAAGTGACACAGTCATAGTACCTACACACAGAATCATGTAGAAGTATCACAGTCATAACACCAAGAATCATGTAGAAGTATCACAGTCATAACACCAAGAATCATGTAGAAGTATCACAGTCATACCACCAAGAATCATGTAGAAGTATCACAGTCATAACACCAAGAATCATGTATAAATATCACAGTCATAACACCAAGAATCATGTAGAAGTATCACAGTCATAACACCAAGAATCATGTAGAAGTATCACAGTCATAACACCAAGAATCATGTAGAAGTATCACAGTCATAATACCAAGAATCATGTATAAATATCACAGTCATAACACCAAGAATCATGTAGAAGTATCACAGTCATAACACCAAGAATCATGTATAAATATCACAGTCATAACACCAAGAATCAAGTATAAGTATCACAGTCGTAATACCAAGAATCATGTATAAGTATCACAGTCATAATACCAAGAATCATGTAGAAGTATCACAGTCATAACACCAAGAATCATGTAGAAGTATCACAGTCGTAATACCAATAATCATGTATAAGTATCACAGTCATAATACCAAGAATCATGTATAAGTATCACAGTCATACCACCAAGAATCATGTAGAAGTATCACAGTCATACCACCAAGAATAATGTAGAAGTATCACAGTCATACCACCAAGAATCATCTATAAGTATCACAGTCATAACACCAAGAATCATGTATAAGTATCACAGTCATAACACCAAGAATCATGTAGAAGTACCACAGGCATAACACCAAGAATCATGTATAAGTATCACAGTCATAACACCAAGAATCAAGTATAAGTATCACAGTCCTAAAACCAAGAATCTTGTATAAGTATCACAGTCCTAAAACCAAGAATCTTGTATAAGTATCACAGTCGTAACACCAAGAATCAAGTATAAGTATCACAGTCGTAATACCAAGAATCAAGTATAAGTATCACAGTCATAACACCAAGAATCATGTAGAAGTATCACAGTCATAACACCAAGAACCATGTAGAAGTATCACAGTCGTAATACCAAGAATCTTGTATAAGTATCACAGTCGTAACACCAAGAATCAAGTATAAGTATCACAGTCGTAATACCAAGAATCATGTATAAGTATCACAGTCATAACACCAAGAAACGTATAAGTATCACAGTCGTAATACCAAGACACTCCAGATCAGTTGTAGGTATCACAGTCATAACTCCAAGACACTCAGAATCACATGTAAGTATAAGTCATAATACCAAGACACTCCAGATCAGTTGTAGGTATCACAGTCATAATACAAAGACACTCTGAATCATGTGTAAGTATAACAGTCATAATGCCTAAACAGTCAGAAGCAGATGCAGGCAACACAGTTCTTCCTGTGGATAAGTCCTGGGGATACCAGAAACCCTGACCTGTTCATCATTCAGTGTTTCATTGTAACTTCCAAGAAATGGTTGAGGTTCAAGGTTGCAAGTGTTAGTTTGTCTGTCCCAAACCTGTTCTGTCATTGCAAGCAGCAGCCTAACATTATCAAGGCCATGAAAATATATATGACAGCTCAGATGAGCACCACTCACACTCTTACTCATCATGTGATCAAGTATCTAGATGATGGCACATACCAAAAAGAAACTGGCACATGTTGTGGACAAAAAGGAACTGGCACATGTGGACAAAAAGGAACTGGCAAATGTTGTGGACAAAAAGAACTGGCACATGTTATGGACAAAAAGAACTAGCACACATGTTGTGGACAAAAAGGAACTGGCACATGTTGTGGACAAAACGAACTGGCACATGTTGTGGACAAAAAGGAACTGGGACATGTTGTGGACAAAAAGTAACACCAAGAATCAAGTATAAGTATCACAGTCGTAATACCAAGAATCAAGTATAAGTATCACAGTCATAACACCAAGAATCATGTAGAAGTATCACAGTCATAACACCAAGAACCATGTAGAAGTATCACAGTCGTAATACCAAGAATCTTGTATAAGTATCACAGTCGTAACACCAAGAATCAAGTATAAGTATCACAGTCGTAATACCAAGAATCATGTATAAGTATCACAGTCATAACACCAAGAAACGTATAAGTATCACAGTCGTAATACCAAGACACTCCAGATCAGTTGTAGGTATCACAGTCATAACTCCAAGACACTCAGAATCACATGTAAGTATAAGTCATAATACCAAGACACTCCAGATCAGTTGTAGGTATCACAGTCATAATACAAAGACACTCTGAATCATGTGTAAGTATAACAGTCATAATGCCTAAACAGTCAGAAGCAGATGCAGGCAACACAGTTCTTCCTGTGGATAAGTCCTGGGGATACCAGAAACCCTGACCTGTTCATCATTCAGTGTTTCATTGTAACTTCCAAGAAATGGTTGAGGTTCAAGGTTGCAAGTGTTAGTTTGTCTGTCCCAAACCTGTTCTGTCATTGCAAGCAGCAGCCTAACATTATCAAGGCCATGAAAATATATATGACAGCTCAGATGAGCACCACTCACACTCTTACTCATCATGTGATCAAGTATCTAGATGATGGCACATACCAAAAAGAAACTGGCACATGTTGTGGACAAAAAGGAACTGGCACATGTGGACAAAAAGGAACTGGCAAATGTTGTGGACAAAAAGAACTGGCACATGTTATGGACAAAAAGAACTAGCACACATGTTGTGGACAAAAAGGAACTGGCACATGTTGTGGACAAAACGAACTGGCACATGTTGTGGACAAAAAGGAACTGGGACATGTTGTGGACAAAAAGAAACTGGCACATGTTGTGGACAAAAAGAACTGGTACATGTTGTGGACAAAAAGGAACTGGCACATGTTGTGGACAAAAAGAACTGGTACATGTTGTGGACAAAAAGGAACTGGCACATGTTGTGGACAAAAAGAAACTGGCACATGCTGTGGGCAAAAAGAAACTGGCACATGTTGTGGACAAAAAGAACTGGCACATGTTCTGGACAAAAAGAACTGGCACATGTTGTGGACAAAAAGGAGCTGGCACATGTTGTGGACAAAAAGAAACTGGCACATGGTGTGGACAAAAAGAAACTGGCACATGTTCTGGACAAAAAGAACTGGCACATGTTCTGGACAAAATGAATTGGCACATGTTGTGGATAAAAAGAACTGGCATATGTTGTGGACAAAAAGGAACTGGCACATGTGGACTAAAAGAAACTGGCACATGTGGACAAAACGAAACTGGCACATGTTGTGGACAAAAAGAAACTGGCACATGTTGTGGATAAAAAAGGAACTGGCACATTTTGTGGACAAAAAGTACTGGCACATGTTCTGGACAAAAAGAACTGGCACATGTTGTGGACAAAAAGGAACTGGCACATGTTGTGGACAAAAAGAAACTGGCACATGTTCTGGACAAAAAGAACTGGCACACATGGACAAAAGGAACTGGCACACACTGAGGAAGCAAATGAAACTGTTGTTTCATAGTCCTTGGGGGGGGGGCTAGTCAAAAGTATGCAATACTTATATTATTGGCAACACCTTTCTTTCATTTTTTTGCGGTATGAACTAAATATTTAAAAAAAAAACTATATAAAAACTGTTTCCTGTTTCATCTAATAGCCCGATTGTGAGAGATTAAGACATCATGTACATCAATCTAATTGTGTGTGGGAGCACATTACATCGTGATCACTGGCTCCAGTACATAGATCTACCTTTACCAGGAAAGTCCACACCTTTGACAGTAATCCCTGATCAGTAATTACTACCAGTCAGTTCGGAATGACTTCATGTCGTACTGCAGACAGAAATAGCTCAGACTAGTGTGGTAAATGAAGGCGTTACAACATAGAAATGTCAATTGATAATTACGAATTAATCTCTTTCATGGGCATCATGTTTATGAACGACAGATGTATCTTTCAGGGACGTAGATGCTTTTGAACCTTAAAAAAAACACTCAAGAAGAACAAGAACTTCTTATGTAAGTTTTTTGACAAAATGCTTTTGAAGGTAATGAAAGCACCTGCGCAACAGATATACGGAATGTTACATGTAAAGTGATATCACTGTGGACAGTGCGGAATGTTCTCGATCTGGTGGCGGATGGAAACAGACATGCAAAGTATTCTCAAAATGTTCATCTTGTCAAGTCCATTGACAGAACATGAATAAAGCTGAATGGGCCACTTTGCCGAGTCAAATGAAAACAATCAATTGTTACGCTCAGTAGATGTTTGGTTTCGGCAAAGGTCTGAGTGTTACTTTGTCCCTCCATTAGTGAAGGAGGCTGGTGGAGTGTTTGAGTAGGATGAGACCATGGAATGTCCCTGGTGTGGGAATGTCAGGGTATCAGGACAGTGTTGTAGCTGTGTTTGAAGATGGAAGCTATAGAAATTCCCCTCTTCACGCCCCCTTGGGGCCTCTTTTCAAGGAGCCGTGACAGAGTTTCACACCCTGCACACCCATATCAAAAGTTAGGGGGACAGTGTTTGCTCTCATCAGGTCTCATACTACCAAAATTGGATATGTACTAATGGGTAAACAAGCATGTCGCAAGGCAATCACACGTGTTTATTAGCACAGTTTGCTGTTTAGTGGAGCCAGGCTGAAGTGCACGTCCAGAGTTGGAGAACTGCGGCTCAACTTTCACTCTTGCCGTCGCTATGTTGGCTCGGGGACATCCTATACGTGTGCCACTTAAAAGAGCAATGACGGCCAAGTTTACGTGTGTAGATTGAAGGCACAGTGCGATTGTTCCCTAATTGTGTCGGTAGTGTGTAACTGAAGGAAGGAATGGTGGCGAGACAGTGTGGCACCAGCGTCCCGGCCGCGCTGTCCTCACATAGACATCATACACAAGGTAAACACCGCAGCCTACAGGAAATCCACCGCTTTAAATTCCAAACTGTTAACTTAGAAAGGATCTGACAATAGGGCTAGTGGATGATAGGTAGACAGGGCGCTGGTGTCCGATTATCTATTTGTTTGTTAATTATTGAGGTGAGTGGAGGACAGGCTTCAAGATTCATGCAATCATAAACGAGGGTATCTGTTTCCATCTTCGGCAGATCAACTTTCCAAGGGCAGATACGAACAGGTCTTGAGATGATTCGACACCATATACCTACTCACTACTAAAATGGAGTAAATATTGGTAGTCTCTTCGTCTTTTGATGTATGAAAACAAATCTGAGAAATCCTGTTTTTCACAAGTCGACAAGAGGATGTGTAAGTTGATTCTCTGCTGGGAGCCTGGTTGTGATACGAGAGAGGACACATCGGGCTGCAACACAATCCACATCAGGTGCCTCTATATCATGGAACAAGTGTGTGCTTTATGGAATTAGCTACCTGTGATGAAATTTTACACTTTCATGAAGCTGAAACTTCAGTTCTAATTGAAATGAGATTTCTTATCACTTAGTTTGATAAGGTTGATGAATTGTTGAGCCAAGGTTTCATGACATGGAAATGAGGTTGCATACACTTGACTGTTAGTCATCAGACGAGATGTTTATGGAATAGGAAGCTCATGTTATGTCATCAGTGCCTGGACATTTTCACTTTGCTAATGAAGAGTCTACCAACATCTAATCGTCAGACATGCTTACAAGACAGACTTCATCAGAATAAGAGCAGAAACTTTGATCTTGTAATGGAAATCTTAGAGTGACTGCTGTTTCAAGGCCGATTTTTTTCCATCTTCTTGCTGAAGGTCATTTTGCCATCAGTTGTAATGGACTGTTATGATACATATGTGTCTACTTTTACATCACAACATGAGGAAAATACCTCATTCAGGATGTACTTTTTATGACTTTCACATATTGCCTTCCTCTTTTCTATTGGAATCGACCGACGTATAGCACAGAAATATGTATGTCAAGCAAGTATGTTAAATAAATTACATGTAAAAACTTTGCTTGTTGTCTACCGGTATTCTAAATGCTATGATTTCGCCATCACTTCAATAATCAAAAGGTGAGAAAATAGGTCTTCACCAACCCATGCTTGCCGTAAAAGGCGACTATGCTTATCGTAAGGCAACTAATGGGATTGGGTGGTCAGACTAGCTGACTTGGTTGGTGCATGTCATCACATCCCAATCGCATAGATCGATGCTCATGATGTCAATCATTTGATTGTCTGGTCCAGATTTGATTATTTACAGACCACCCTCATATAGCTGGAATATTGCTGAGTGCGGCATTAAACAACAAACAAACAATCAATATTTCCATATCTTCTGAAAGAGCAAACACAATATATGTACTGGTAAGTGGTGTAACGGTTTCATCATGATTCTTTCACTGTTGTCGATCCACATCTGATGTCATACATGTGTCAAGATGGTCAGTTTTTACCTTAATCAGAAGATATAGCACATATAGTCTTTGAATTTTGTTGTATGTTTGTTTTCAGGATTGAGGAAGATGAATTCCTGGACAAGCAAATATCTGAGGGTCGCATTCCATTGAAGGATGAGAAGAGTTGCTCCATACAGTGATATGTAGGCACGGAGCTGCCAGGAGTCAAGCTGTGATACTGAGTGTGTGATGATCAAGAAGGGAGATGATCAGTGTGTTGGAAAGACGGATATTGGGGGAGGACTTCGGGACTTTCTAGAATGAGTGGTGATCAGGAGGTGCGTTTGGTGTTTGGAGGAAGGATGAAGATGGGGCCACTGATAATATGAAAGTGTTTTTCTTTATATCAATATCATACATAAAATTCACCTTGATCTGTAAAATAGAAGTTTGTGTATTGATGGGTCGACTCTACAGACCTTTCATAATATTGCCAGTAACAGTCATGTCAGTGCTTGGCCTTGACAAACATAGTGCTATAAGGTCTCTGATGACCTTGATGTCTATTGGTCACTGAACTTTGACCTGGGTCATTAGGATGTAGGTGATGGCTGCATAACTCTCATCCTCCAGTTTTGCCGCTGTCCATGTGGTAAAGGTCACTGGGAGATACCTACAGTGAGGTTCAATCTGGACACAGGGAGAGCTGCCTCTGATGCCATAGGTTTGTCTTCATGTAATGCCAACATGACCCACTAAGATCCAGCCAACCACATGCTGCCTCCTGCTTCTTTCTTTTTGTCGTCTCCAGGGGTAACAGCCTGACCTGTGTTGTTGTACACTGTCATCTCTTGCATAATATCATATGTGTGTTGCATGGGGATGTTGATACATTTTGCATATCCAAGACGGAGAATCAATGCTGTGAGGATCTTCTTGTGCGTCTTGTATTCACTCATGGTTAATGGTTAAAATCATTCATCATCAACAAATTAATGTGTTGAAGATTGAAAGGTATGCCGCCATCCCATGTTACAATCTGTATGGACCAGCAGTGTTGCTGGTCGCAACCATCCATGGTTCCAGGAGTCAGAGAGTGAACAAAACAACCAGAAGCAGGTGCTTCATGGAGGAAGCTGGACAATTGTAGAGAAACTAGATGAAAGATGGGAATTTATGATCTTGTACATGTAAAGCAAGGGTCTGTATTTTGCCCCCACTGTTTCAATGACCATTTGTCACTATGCATGCAAAGAAGACCGAATTTAGGGATACAACTTCTTTATTTGACTGTAATGGCGACGTTTTGGTATAGATTCTTATACCATTGTCAGTTTGGTATAGATTCGGTATAGGCATTGCTTGACAACAGTATAAGAATCAATACTGAAAAGTCGCCTTTACAGTCAAATAAAGAAGTTGTTATCCATAAATTGTGTCTACTTTGTCATCCGTCAACTTCTAAGAAATGCCTATTAAACAATTCACTTTGCATACACCTTAAACATCAATCTCTTTATTTCACAACACCAACCAAATTCTTTACCAACAAATAATGTTTCCTGCCCAGCCCTCACCTTTGCATTAAATCTTTAGTCTCAATAGAGACCTGTTTCACCCAGTACAGAAGCAGCTGAGTACCAAATACAGAAACTGTTTGCATACACAATTGAGCATTCTTGGAACATCATGACATTTGAACTTTTATGAATGGGTTGTTTAGCAATGAACTTTAGATTTTGTATGGCAGGGTGTAAACTTGACCATGTACTGTATGATGTTCTGTGATAACACTGACCATGTACTGTATGTGTTCTGTGATAACACTGACCATGTACTGTATGATGTTCTGTGATAACACTGACCATGTACTGTATGATGTTCTGTGATAACACTGACCATGTACTGTATATGTTCTGTGATAACACTGACCATGTACTGTATGATGTTCTGTGATAACACTGACCATGTACTGTATGTGTTCTGTGATAACACTGACCATGTACTGTATGATGTTCTGTGATAACACTGACCATGTACTGTATAATGTTCTGTGATAACACTGACCATGTACTGTATGTGTTCTGTGATAACACTGACCATGTACTGTATATGTTCTGTGATAACACTGACCATGTACTGTATGATGTTCTGTGATAACACTGACCATGTACTGTATGTATTCTGTGATAACACTGACCATGTACTGTATGATGTTCTGTGATAACACTGACCATGTACTGTATGATGTTCTGTGATAACACTGACCATGTACTGTATGTGTTCTGTGATAACACTGACCATGTACTGTATGTGTTCTGTGATAACACTGACCATGTACTGTATGATGTTCTGTGATAACACTGACCATGTACTGTATGATGTTCTGTGATAACACTGACCATGTACTGTATGTGTTCTGTGATAACACTGACCATGTACTGTATGATGTTCTGTGATAACACTGACCATGTACTGTATGATGTTCTGTGATAACACTGACCATGTACTGTATGTATTCTGTGATAACACTGACCATGTACTGTATGTGTTCTGTGATAACACTGACCATGTACTGTATGATGTTCTGTGATAACACTGACCATGTACTGTATGATGTTCTGTGATAACACTGACCATGTACTGTATGTGTTCTGTGATAACACTGACCATGTACTGTATGATGTTCTGTGGTAACACTGACCATGTACTGTATGTGTTCTGTGATAACACTGACCATGTACTGTATATGTTCTGTGATAACACTGACCATGTACTGTATGTGTTCTGTGATAACACTGACCATGTACTGTATGATGTTCTGTGATAACACTGACCATGTACTGTATGATGTTCTGTGATAACACTGACCATGTACTGTATGATGTTCTGTGATAACACTGACCATGTACTGTATATGTTCTGTGATAACACTGACCATGTACTGTATGATGTTCTGTGGTAACACTGACCATGTACTGTATATGTTCTGTGATAACACTGACCATGTACTGTATGATGTTCTGTAATAACACTGACCATGTACTGTATGATGTTCTGTGATAACACTGGCCATGTACTGTATGTGTTCTGTGATAACACTGACACTATAGTGGTTAATGAAGAACATTCTCCGTGTGTTCTATGACATCTAAACATCATGAGGTTTCAAGAACCCATATTTTGTATGTAATACTACTGAAGTTATAAACTATTGTATCCTCATCAATCATTGGTGAAAGTACTCCACATGGGTCTCAAGTTATGTTGTATGTTTCTCATGTTACATAGGTAAATGCCTACAGTGATTGTATGAGTAGTTATGTACATGTGTTGCCAACAGCGTGTATCTTCCATGGACTTGGTCCATATAATCATGTCAACCCATGCTTGTCGTAAGATGCGACTAACAGGATCGGGTGGTCAGTCTCGATGACTTGGTTGATGCATGTCATTGTATCCCAATTGCGTGGATCTATGCTCATGATGTAAATCACTGGATTGTCTGGTCCAGGCTCGATTATTTACAGACCGCCATCATATAACTGGAATATTGCCGAGTGCGGCGTTAAACAAACAAATATAATCATGTAAACTAGAACAGCAGGCATGTACGGCCAATCAAGACTTGAAAAGGTTAGGAGTTAAGTTTTCATATTCTTTCTGAAACATACTAAAACACACTGAAACTTCGTTACTGTGGAAAGCTGCCTCCCAGGCGAAGCTCTGGTTGAAAATGTCTCTAGTTTGTTTCTATCATTCATTAATCTGAACATTTGTTAAACTGGATAATTTCTCTGTGAATGGTACCTTTAGAAATAAGAGTGTTAAACTGTTATTCAGCTAAGTGAAATACAGGAATTGATACTTATATTATTAAGCCCAATCAATACTTAAGTGTTGGTAAATGTTTTGAGAAAAAAACATACCTGTCAAAGCCTGTTGGTGTCATTGCAGACAAACACATTGCTTTTTAGAAAAACAGCATTAGTACTGGTCTCAGTGCTGTCATGTTTTTCTGATTTTACAAACTAAACATCAACCGATGCTGAGAAAGGAATGTGTTGATGTTATGGAACTGTGTCTTGTTTTGGAGGTGTTATTTATCACAACGGTTCTGTTATGTTCAAGACATGTCAGTACAGTTGCTTCATTTGTACATGTTTCATAGTCTGATGTGATGGGGGCAGTGAGGTTACATTGTTGATTGACCCTGCATATTAACACACCATATATTGTTCACATGGCTTCCAGTACATGTCCCATGCTGAGTGGCAGTCCTTATCTGTCGTCTCAGTCAGAAAACGTGATATGTGGATTATTTGTGTAGTTTATTTCACTTGATTGTATTTGTGATTGTTTGGGATCTTTTCTGAATTGTTGAGCTGCACATTTGTGAGTGCAAACACTGCACGTTTTGCTGATCTAAAATGCACGTAATCACATCTCAAACAGCATGTGATTTCACAGCTGTCACAATGGCCTTGGAAGTATAGAGTTCATATATCATAAACGGTGTATCAATAGATTTCTAGCCAATGAGAGCTTGAATAAGAGAACAAAGTATAACATGCATAGGGCAGAAACCTGACCCCCTTTATCAGGATGTTATGTGTTAAAGAAGTCGTTTTGTCAAAGTCCATAGTCTGTACATGTTTTGTGTGTACCCAAAGTCCACTTCTTTGAGTGCTTTGAGTAAATGACATTAAGCAGTTTTAGTTTTCCTGCATATTTTCAAAGACTGTTGCCAAAATTATTTCCTGCTATTACCCATGTCTCAGTAATAGTTACCTGACAACCTTTGACAAGAGTGAAGTATGTAGTCTTCTAAATAATGGAGATATTGTACCACAGCAGTACTTCCTCCATCTATCTGTTTGGTTGGCATGCTAGACGTTGTTGAGGAAGCAAGAAAACTTACAACTTTATGGATAACTTCCTCTGTCTAGTCTCATAGAACATTCACACAACAGGACTTGACATACAGTCTTGTTACGGACCCAGAGATTATTCCTAGTGATAATCTATCTTTATGACAGGTTACTATGATATAATTACACAGAATATTTCGCACTTCATGAAATGTCTGGTTTTCTTTCAAGCAGTTTGAAACGATTTGTTTTTGTTTTTTTATTTCTTGTTTAATGAGGTTGTTATATTTTTTTCTGTTTCTGTTAAATAACCTTAACTATTAATTCAATTATTATTTTATCATTCTTAATTTGATCTATCATGTAAATATAAAACGTCAACGTCAGAGAATTACCAGTATCAATTATCCTTGGAAACAGTTTCCATTTGGCATAAAAGACAAAATAGTGGTGAAAATGATGTGAATGGATCACTGCAAATCAGTGATGACACCAGGTGTTCACAAAAAGGGTATGCATGTGCTGCTCTACCGGTAGCACCCGCCACACCCAATTGGCATCAAAATGTTTGTGTTTGTTGCCTGACACTGCACAACAGTACTCATCCATGAGACAGCAGCTTGTAAACAAACCAGACAATCAAGTGATTGACCATACTAATACTAAAGTACTTGTGTCTGTGTTGGATCATTCCTGTACAGCTAAGGAGTAGGAAGTCCAGGATGGAGGTACATGTCAAGGTTATATTTTGTTTCCAATGGTTTTTGTGATAAACATACCACAATGTGCAATCTCTGGCATATTGAGCCCTCTCTTGATATTATTTCTTGTGCTTACAAGTATCCTTATTCTTGTACTGCTATTGGCATCATACAATATTTAATAGTCTCCTTTTGCGTCATCATCATATCATCATCATCAAATTCAATCACACACTTTTAAGATTGCCATTAGCTATGTGCATGTATATATAATGTGAATATATCGTAAAGGTTTGTATTTTGTGTTTTATTCCATGTTTGTAGATTTTGTAAGTAAAGAAATGTTTATTTATTCTCCTATCTGTCTGATGTGGTGTTTGTTTGGTTTGACCATATTCCAGCAACGCCAGAGTGAAACAGAATGACAGTGTCACAGAGACTCCAACACTTATATCTCCGAAGGTCATCGTTCCAGACTAAGATGTTCCAATATTCAGTTAATCGTTTGTAAAAGTGGAGACAAATTCTGTGTAATCTGCCACTAAATTTGCTATATTCAAATTGTAATATTTTCACTATCCATCTTACAAAGGACTCCTTAAACTTGAATGTAATGCTAAGGCATTTCCATTGTCTTGGTCTAAGCCGGTGTGACAGAACATTCATATCAAATTTTGTTTTCATAAAAGAAAATGTGAGACTTCATTTTGAAGAATGTTTTATTACAGCTGATGTCAACATATCCGTAAGAAGAAATACAGTTGTGTTTGCACTGCCTCAAACCTATCACTCTATCTTGATTGTAAACTTGAAGTTTGAAATGTGTAACATGTTTAACAGTACTACCATACTATACTGCCACAATAGAGCAGCAGTGTGTGATGTTGATGTGCCGTGGTACACAATGTAGCAGTCATGTTGTTGTTGTATCTGCTGCTGCTGCTGCACACAGTGAACTGTCTACTGGTGCTTCACAAAGCCTCAATAGAGCATGGTAGAAAAAATTATTTTTAAATGTCACAAGTAATGTTTTCACAATTTTTTTCTCCAATTCGGTCATAATTTCAGAAATATGCTTTCTTCACTAAGTGTAACCTGTTATTCCAAATAAAACAATATGTTCACAGAACTTATTAGTAAAGAATACAATTTAGAGCATTCTGTGAAATTGTATCTTAGAGAAGAAAAAAGGTGCTTATTGACCACCTTGTTACTAATAGTGGCATTAATGTCACTGTGTCTGAGTGGATGTCATCAGTCTGTTATTGTTCAGTATATTCACTGTTCTGACTGATGTTATGACTGTCTTGCCATTGAGTATCTTCAGTTTGGACTGTGATGTCTTCAGTCTGTCTTGTCATACAGTATCTAAACTGTGATGTCATCAGTTTGTTGTCATGCAGTGTCTTTATGATATGCTTGTCTGAGAGTCACCGTCTGCTGTCTGCTGTCTGCTTTGGCATATTTTTATAGTTTTGTGAGAGTGTGTATGAGAGCCTTGTGAATAAAGTTGTCCACTTGATATTCCATTGTTTGGTTACTCACAGCTGTACTATGAGGGGGTGGTGGGGTAGCCTAGTAGTTAAAGCGTTCATTCCTCACTCTGAAAATCGGTTTAAATCCTGACATGGGTACAATGTGTACAACCCATTTCTTGTGTCCCCCATGTGATATTGCTGGAATATTGCTAAAAGTGGCATAGAACCATACTCATTCACTCACTGTACTATGAGGAGTTACAG